CGGAAAAAAGAAAAAAAAAAAAAAAAAAAAAAAAAAAAAAAAAACAATGTTAAACTTTTCAAAAATCAGTTGTAAAAAAATTTTTTGTCTGATTTTAAATTTAGATTTAAATTTTGTTTCATTTTCTCTATCCTGATTGCAAATTGATCCTGTAAGAATTTCTGAATTCCAGTTTGAATCTCAAACTATGATTTCCTCTTCTCCTAAAATTTTTGGCCTTCAAAAAACACTTGGGATACTTGGTATTACACTTCCAATGCTCATTGACCCCTTCCAACACAAAAATGTATAGTAGGATGCATAATTTTTCTGGTGTTTTTACTTTAAAGAGACATTGATTTTTTTAAAAAATTGCAGAGGAAAATTAGAATATTTACTTAATTTTTTTCAATTAGGTAAGAGATTCACATGGTCTGTAAATCAGAAAATATAAAATGCATATAGTGAAAGGTCTTCTTCCACTCATGGTCCTATCTACCCAGTTCCTACACCCCTCTACCAACACACACATGGAACCACTGTTATTCTTGTGTATCCTTCCAGAGTTTCTTTATGAATATACACTTTTTATATTCCTTTTCATACCCAAGTTAACATATACAAGTGATTCTGTGCTTTGATTTTTTTCTTAACAATATCTTCAAGATCTGTTTTATATTACTAATTTAGACATCTTTTTCATTGTTTTAATGGCCTCATATTATTCCATTATATGGATATACCATCATTTATCTTACTGGCTCTGTATTGATGGATATTGAAGCTATAGATATCTTTTTTAATTTCTAATATTGTACTGTTCTCTTTTTTGCTGCAATGCAAATTGATCAAATTTATCACACTGATTTGGGAGGGGTACTCAGCAAAAATATTTGCATACTTTAAAAAAGGACTTATGATGAACTTCCAGTGATACTATGTAGAACTTGACAAGATAATCCTAAAACTCATAGGGCCAAAACTAGCCAAAACATTTTGAAAAAATAGAATTTGGACAGAAGAATTATTGTTCCAAAGTCCATATCATAATAATTAAATTAGTATGGTATTGGTGCAGGAGAAGACTAGTATCCAGTAGAACAGACTGGAAAGCCTAGAAGCAGACTCATATATGTGTCATATTTTAGTATAGGACAGAAAAGGCATTACAGATCAATGGGGAAAGGATAAATAAATACTCATTTGATAAATAATACTGAGATAGTTTGTTAATTATATGATTAAAAACTAAAATTAGATTGCTAGCTATGCCATACACAAAAATAAATTCCAGATTGGTTAAGTACCTGAAAGTAAAAAGTAAAATTTTTAAATATTTAGGAGAAGTCCCCATGCCTCAATTTCCTCATCTGTAAAATAAAGATAATAATAGTACCTACTTCATGGGGTTGTTATAAAAATTAATGAAATAATATATATAAAGCATTTAAAACATAGGCTGAAATGATTACATTGTATAATGTTGAATATACTAATTATCCTGATTTGAGCATCACATATTGCACACAGGTATTGATATTCAACACTGCACCCCACAGATGTGTATAATCAATCCTGAAATATAATAAATAATATGTAAGTATTATTATTTTTACTCAAGAATACCTTTATGAGTATAGGGAAGAATTTTTCTAAATATTTCTAAAACATAATGACAAATATAACTTTTACTACTTTAAGATATAAAGGTATGTAAAACACAAAAATTAAAAGACATACCATCCAGCTCCACCCCCCATCAAAAAAAAAAAAAAAATTAAAAGACAAGCCACGGACCATAAGGTAGTTGAAACATATCTAACCAACAGAGTATTGGTCTAGAATTTATGAAGAACTCTTGCAATTTCTTTATCAAAAAGAGAAAGCCAAACAACCAGTAGAAAAATGGGTAAAGGGGCCGACCCGGTGGCGCACTGCTACAGTGCGCCGCTTGGGAGCGCGGCAGCACTCCCACCGAGGGTTCGGATCCCACACACAGACCGGTTCCCACTCACTGGCTGAGTGAGGTGTGGGCGCAACACCGAGGGTTGCGATCCCGTTGCCAGTCCGGTCCGGTACGGGCACGACACTGAGGGTTGCGATCCGTTGCCGGACATGAAAAAAGGAAAAAAGAAAAATGAGTAAAGAATATGATCAAGCAATTCACCGAAGAGAGAAACCTAAATGAACAACCAACATCAGAAGATAGCCTCGGGGCCGGCCCGGTGGCGCACTGAACAGTGCGCCGCTTGCGAGTGCGGTGGCGCTCCCGCTGAGGGTTCAGATCCCACATACAGACTGGTTCCCGCTCACTGGCTGAGCGAGGTGCGGGCGCAACACCGAGGGTTGCGATCCCGTTGCCGGTCCGGGCCGGGCGCGACACTGAGGGTTGTGATCCGTTGCCGGTCACGAAAAAAGACAAAAAGGAAAAAAAAAATGATAAATCTAAGTGGGAGGTGTTTATTATACTATTCTACAAATTTTTATATATCTGAAATATCTAATAATTTTACTTTTTTAAAATTAGAAATAAATATATATTCCTTTGGGAGAAAAGCTACTCTGTGTATAGCATAGAGTTAGCATTATAGAATAAGTTTTAGAATGAAATACCCTGGGTTTTGAATCTCGGCCTTACCAACACTTAGCTGGCAGGACTACCATGTGCACTCAGGCATCTACGTAGTCTGGGATGCAAATCATATCTCCTGGAGCTTTGCAACATGTTGATTATGGCTATGTGATCTTGGACCATTTTCTTAACTTCCATAATTCTCAGTTTTCTGATCTAAGTCAAAATAACAATGCATATGTCATAGGTATTCTCAGGCTTAAATAAAATAACATAGGTAAAGTGTTTAAAGTTTAAAATAGTACCTGGCACATAGCAAATGTTCAATAACAGTTAATTGCCTTTATACATAGGATTATTTCTATTTTTGTAATTTATATTTTAGGAAATAAAAATGAACCAAAATTTTACTCATAACACTGAGACCATAGTAGCAACTCCTCAGTTATGACACTTTAAGAGGGTATACCACCTGAGTTGAACCTTACAACTAATTAGTGCCCACCCATGGTTTTGACAATTTTTTTCTTAACAAAACCATTTTGAAATATAATAGATTCTACCCTTTTTAACATTCATAAATGGAACAAACACCATATACCCCTTTATGATTGAAGATGATCATCACATCAGTTTTTGCACTGTGTAGATGTAGTAATGACTAAAGTTTCAAACAGCAGTTGTCCTGAGCAAAATAGGTACAGATCACAAGAGATATCTTAGTACTTCCTCTCTTGAGACAGTCCCTGGTATGTGCTTACTTTCTGATTTTATCTTCTTGTAAAAATCCATTGAAATATACATAACAACATGCTCTCTATATCAGCTTAATTTTTTTTGCCTTTAATAAAATGATTTACTGAATTAAAGAACAAGATAGCCTGCTCCTAAATTGTTTTCTTATCCTCCACAACAGCTATTCCTTCAAATCAATAGGTGATAGTATGGAATTATGCTAAAGAACATAGACTTTGCTGTCAGATAAACTTGAGTTCTAATTCCAATTGTGCCATTTCTTAGTTGTATGACTTTGGTCAATTTATTTTAACTCTCTGTTAAATTTGCATAATAGGATTCCCTACCTTATGGGGCTTATCTGGATTAAATAAAAATTTAGCTTTAAAATGCTTTTTATATATCTGGTACATAGTATGTGCTCACTAAATATTAGTCATTATCAGCACAATCCTGGGATATAGGTATTTCATCTAAATTTTTAATCTATGTTTTAACATCTCCTTTTTTTTTTTTCCTTTTTGTCCTTTTTACTGACCGGCAACAGGATCGCAACCCTCGGTGTTGCGCCCGCGCCTCGCTCAGCCAGTGAGCGGGAACCGGTCTC